CCTAAAGAGCGCTTTAGGGCCTCCTGATCTACCTAAACTGGGAGCTGGTTCCATAGAAGAAGGGCCTGATAGCTGAAGGCTCTCCCTCCTGTTGTACTTTTAAACACCTTAGGAACTCTGTTGTCTGAGAGTAAAGTGCTCTATTTGAGTTATAGGGTATTATGAGGTCTTCAAGATAAGATGGGGCTTGATTATTCAAGACCTTCTATATAAGGAGAAAGATTTTAAATTCAATTCTTGATTTAACAGAAATTTTAGTTGTTAGGCATGCTTCAATCAATGGCATCGTAGACTTCACAGATCTTAAGTAGAAAGGCTGAAAAATATTAAATCTAGGCACCAAAATAAGGCTCCACACATTGCCCTAAAAGGTAAACAGTAAAGCTTTCAAAGAATATGGGATGCTTGGAACAGTTTTCTCTTGTACGTAAGAGCTCCACTGATTGGCTGTAGGTCACGAGAGACACAGATGTTTCTGGGTCCAGACAGTGTGAACCGCGCTCCGTGTCACCTGTCATGCTAACCCTCGATTTACTCTGAGGTTGCAGAAATTGCAGAAATACAGAAGGATATGGGAATATGATTAGCAGTCACTCAGACGCATCGGTGAGAATGTGTACAGGGCCGCCTGCACAGTCTGCCACTGGGTTTTCTCCATTAGTCATGGAGGAATCTGTGACATCAAACAACATGATGGAAAATCAAGAGGAGTGAAAGGCTGCAGATGGCACTTCCAAGTGACGGGAAATGATGATAGCCGTCGGCCATAAAAAAGTGCATCATTGAGAGCCCTGAAGCCAAAATGTATCTTTGTCCCAAATCCTGGAGATGTTTGCTCGATTCATGCGTCAGCTTACAATGTAGCAGATAATGTTTTGGCTACAGTTTCATGTTGTCTGGCATTGAGTGAGCAGTACAAAAGTCTATCAACTACCCTTATATGCTGAAACCTGACACTAAAGTGTCCCAGTGCCTAGAGTCAAAAAAAGTGAAGCCAAGGGGTCGCACTGCATATAAAGTTTTAAGCTTTTAGAGGTCACTCTCTAGTCTGCATTCTGTTTTTGGATCACCACCTCCACCTTCTGACATTATCAAATGGAGGGTAGAACAATGCACGAGCATCCCGCGTTGTATTCCCCAGCCAAAATGCAAATGACAAAGCATTATTATTAGTTTTATCATTATTGCACGGCTTTACGTCATGATAAATTACCTCTTGACTGCAATTGTCAACTGGATCTCTCCTCTAATTAGCTAATTTGCTCATCTACGCGGTGGAAAAGTGACTATGTGATTAATGTGATTTAGAGTCCAGCAAAATATGTAATGAACCTTGATTAATGAAAAATATTATTTAATAAGAATGACTGAACTTGGCACTTTTTTTTCTTTTTTAAATAATAATTGTGCGATAACATGGGCATGGTAAAGCAATAATCACTGATGCCTGAACATCGCATAATTTTTTTTATCAATGACACAAAACTGTACGTAAAATTTAAACAGGTCCTAGATGTGGGTTATATTGTTTATTCCTGTATTTTACCAAATGGAGTACAAACTAACCAGCCCAGGTTTGTTCTGTTAGTGTGTGTTCCAAGCAAAGCATTTAGGCACATAACCACTTGTCAGGAAACTTATTGCTCTTTACAGTCATGTAATGAGTTGTCTTGTACAGTTGAGTAATCTTACTCCTCCTGTCTCCCCTTTCCTCACACACACACACCCACCCACACACACACACACACACAGAGTGAAATAAAGTGAAAAGGAGGGCAGCACACCACAGTGCACAAGCACAACACGAGCCTTCGACTTGACTATGTTGTCAAGCAGCTGCTAAT